TCACAAAAACATAAATATCTAAAATCTGGAAATACATTATACTCTATTCAAAATTTTTGATTTTTCTCATAATTTATCGTTAATATTAAGAATATATTTAGAACTTATATAAGTACTTCATGAATAATATAATGCTACATATTATATTATTGTTTAATAAAAAATGTAATTAATACAATTTAAAAAATATTATTTTTTCACACTAATATATAGGTAATATTGTATTTGAATAAACGTAAAATATATTATTAAAATGTTGCACTATATAATCGTAGTCAAAATATATTTTTAAATATGATTTGATTTGTTAGATTTAAGTATAAGTATATACTCGTTTTAATGTTTTATCCATAATATATTCAAAAACGATCAATTTGTAATTGAATTAATGTACAATATTTTTTATAGTCCCATTATATTTCTATAAAGTATATTTTATCATTAATAAAATTTAAGATTTGAGTCTAGTAGTTATGTGTCGTAAAATCATTGTTGAGTAAGAACCTAATATCCATATTTTTATTTTATCAACACCGATATGTTTTACTACTTACCAATTTACAACAGAACACAGTAAACAAAACTGTTAGTTGGCGATTTTATGAACCACCTACATAATGGGACCCTGATTCGATTAAGACCATAAGACCGATATTCCTACAACCCTTTTCTATAATGTATTTATTCTTCCAACTGCCTAAAGAAGATTTACTACCCTTTCGCCCTTCCGACAACATTTTCAATTATCAATAAATTATCATAGATTAAAAGGTATGTTATAGAGAGGATCCGTATTATATTTGACAATTACATTTTTTTATATATATATATAATAATTATTATAGCAATATTATTTAAGAATCCAGATTTATGAAAGCGATAAAAAGATTATTTTTTTTTAGTATTATAATCTTTTTTATTATATTTTATTTTTTGTTTTTAAATTGTTTTTATCTTCAACAACTTTATTCAAGCTATATTAAAGGTATTATTATCCATGTTTTTTTTTTTTTTTAATCATTTATAATATTAGTCAGTTTTTAATACATACTTATGTTATAATAAATTAATAGTTTTTTTTATTCATAAATGACAACTTAACAAAAAAAAAAAAATTTTTAAGTAAAGTTAATACAGCTATTAAAATTAAAAAAATGCATAAAATCACAAAATATTAAACCTTTGTCTTTTGATAATTTTTTTTAAACATTTTTTAAAAAATATAGTATTTTTAATATTTAAACAATAATTAATTAATTGTTAAATGAATGCTGATCATTATTATGTATTTAAAATGTGTAAAAGGTTTGTATTATCTCCAATTAAGTTGTATTATAAGTCATTATGCACTTAAATTTAACTTACTTATAGAGAAGTAATTAAATATTAATTTTTTTTTTTTCGTCTCCAAATAACGTTAAAATATAACGTAAAATATTAAAAGTTTGAAAATAAAAATTGGGTTAATAAAATAAAATATTTTATTAACATGGCTCATTATTTTTTTCAAAAATATCATGTTTTTAAATTGAATTTTCAATTTTAAATGTACGTTAGTATTTTTTGATGTATACTAAATATATATATATATATATATATATAAACTATATAGTTATCCAATGTGCATAAATGTTTACCATATTATATTATTATTAATTTAACGTAGTGTTTCATAAAATAGAGTTTATTGTTTTTAAAAATAATTTTTTAATAATGGTAAAAAAATTGTAAGTATTATATTTACGATTCAATAGTTTTGATTAAGTACATAATAATATTTATAATTTTATAATATATTTGTTATCTCTGCATCAAACGGGTTATATTTTAAAATATTTATCTTTACTCCATACCCACAAATTAAGGTAAAGTTGTATAATAAACATATTATAATTCAATATACTCCGTACTGTATAATACTCTACATTAAAATGTACATTCTTAATAATGTGATTATGTGATTATGTGATTTATGACAAACCCATTAGTGTTATTTCAATTTTCAATAGGAGGGCAACATTTTTGACTAGCTGTAATAACTGTGAAAAAATGAACATCTTCATACAATTTCCATTTTATGTAATTATATATTACCCTAGACAAAAATAACTTTGCTTTTATAGTAAAAATAAAGTGAAAAATTAAATAAATACCAACCAGAGTTATATTGTTTGTTTTTTTTTTTCTACAAATTAAATAACAATTCCAAACACAGCTTCTTAAATTTAACTGAAATAGTAAAAAGTATTAAATACTATCTGAGTTTGTTTAAAAATCACATATAAATTTAAGAATGGTAAATATTATTGTATAAATTGTAAATGTTACTGTAAAGCCACTAGATGTCTCTAATGAGAGATTTCCTACCATGTTATCATTAGTTCATAGTTTTTCTTTCTTCACCATAATTATTACTTATTGTACACCTCTGTATAGATTGTAATATTTCAAAATAAAGTCATGATTAAAAAAAAAAAAAATTTAAGAATGGTTGATTCATTTTTGGAATTTTTATCATGTTAGTTGACACATATAATATTATAATAGTGTTGAAATTAAAAAATAAAGTTTAGATTTCAAATTATATGAGATTATAATATTATTACTATACATGTTTGCATATTGTAGATTTATGCCCATAATAATATAATATCACAACGGTTATCTGATCAACATAAGAAAAAGAATAAACAATAATGGCTGTTATTATAAAAAAATTAATTTATACCTAACATATTCTTTTACACACTACTTACACTATACACAGTCCAGGCTACGTGTTTATATAATATGAATAATTTATTCTAAGTTTTAACTAAAAAAAAAATTTCAACTAAAATACTACATAATTATAATTGTGACAACAATTTCTCAATATCTACACAATATTATGATTTCGTAATATTATAAAAATAACCACGGTTTTTTTTTTTTATTTTTAAATGGGCTGCTTTTAAAATAAAACATGATGCTCATCTTAACATTAAATAATGCTACTAAACAAACCTTTTAAGTAATACAGTTTTTTTTTTTTTTGAGAAATGAAATGTGTCTTTAAAGTTGCTTTTTTATAAAATAATTTTTCATTCAAGTTATAATTTAAAAAGTACTAACGTAGTGTAAATTTTATTTAGCTATATTTTATATTATTTAATTTTTTTTGATTTTTTTTATAGTTCTTATTAATATGAGTTCTTTTTTTTTATTCGAAATAGTATGCAAACGCTCTAATAATTCTAAATTAAATCTAAATAATTCTTGTTTTATGCGATTTACTTAGTTTAAAACGTAAAAGAAGCTACATTTTCTAACGTGATAATATAACCAAGTAAAAATATACTAAACTTATTTTTTTAGAACAAAATAATTGCTTTATCTTACTATTGAAAATGAGTCAGTTGACAGTAAACCTTATGACTATGTGATTAGTGCGATTATGATAAAAGATCCAGATAAATCATTTAAAATTTTCTGTTAACATAAATATATATCTTAGAAACCACAACAATATATTTTTCATATTATAGTCAAATAGTTAATACTAAAAAAATACTAAATTTAATATTTATATCGAAATAAAAATACTTGTAACTTATTAAAAATTAGACATAGATATTTTTGAAAAATAGCAAAATATACATACATGAGGTACCGTCATAAAATATATTTATAACATATTTATGAATTTTCAACAACTGAAATACTATAGTTTTCTATAGGAAAGCTTCAAACAAATTTACTACTTTGTCCACAAGCATAAAAGCAAGTACTTTTAACTTTTGTATTTTTAATGCCAACTCAATATTCACAATATATATATTATTTGAACATCGATGATTTTGTATTTGTCTCTGAATTTCCTAACTAAAGTGAAAAAAACTGCTATGTATTTTTGTGTTTGAAAATTCAATTGAAATATCGTTTATCATTGTTTTTTTTTTTTTTAAATAAGTTGTGATTTAGGATATAAGTAAATTATATTAAAAAAAATAAATTACATAATAAGGTATTATGAAACAGCAACATAATATTTAATTACATCATATGTTATATTATTTTTAATTAAATTTACAACATTGTAAAATAAGTATTATGATATTTATGGGAAATATATTTTAATGATACAAACGGTAATAAAGATAAACGTGATGTAATCGGAATTCTCCAATGTTACGTTTTTATATTGCTCATAATGATAAAAAAAAAAGTCCACCGAAATGATATAATATACCCTTTTAAATTAGGTTCATAAAAACACATTTTCAAAAAGTTAATGTACCTACAATAATTTTTGAAATAAATCATGTATTATATAAATATTTATCAGAATATTTATGAGGAAAAAATATTATTAGTGTTAGGTATTATTAAGAATATTTTTAGAACAAGCAAAATAAATGAATAATATTATTATTAGTTATTACATTTTAAGTTAATATATTTATTGATTTACGTTTCTAAGTAAATCGTGGTTCTGAATACTAAATAATTTCATTGCGAACATCCTAATTAAACATAAACAATTTTCTATTCATATTTTAAATTTACTATTATCTGTAGTTCTTATGAAATATTGACGTTCAGTTTATAAAACAGATAGGAAAACAACAAAACAAATTAAGATTATGATGCAAAATATGAAGCAATATCAAAATCATTGTTATCATATATAATGTATATATATATATATATTTACACCTGTAATAATCAGATGTCTCTATAAGTAATTTCACATAATAATGTAATAATAATATTCTTTATATTTTTAAATTATTATTCAGTTTTTAGCTTGTTTTTTTTTACAAATTATTTAAAAAATTTCGGAATTCTTCGTAATAACTAACTTTTGACTCTACCTGGTTGATTATAATGTTTATTTAAATGTAATATTATAAGCAAATACTAATTTTTAGTAATCCTGTTAATGTATTTTTCACTTCAAGCATTAAATTGAACACCACCATGTATTATTTTTGTTATGCTATTTATCTTTTTTACAGGTATCGTGGGTTCGAAGAGCAGGTGATAAGATGCAACTACTTTCATTTGGCCATCACGTATACAGTACAGATCAGCGTTACGAACTTTTATTTAAAGACCCAAACGATTGGCAACTCCGTATATCTTATCTGAATGAAAGAGATGGAGGTCATTATGAATGCCAGGTATCAACTCATCCACCAATCGCGTTCACAGTTTATCTAGCTATTATAGGTTAGTATTTACAATATCGAATATTAACGTTATTAGTTAGTACATTTACTATAAATAACTTTATTTCACAAATAAACATGTCTATTATATCAGCCCATTATGACTTTTATGAGGATAAAAAATATTATCAAAAATGAAATAATCATAAGATCTAAGTACCTTTTATGATTATTTAAAAATACATTCTATTTTAAATTAGTAAAATGTATTTGAGTACCTACTTGTAAATATTTTTTAAATTTTTATGAATCTTCAAAAATTTATCCAGCAATAAACCACGTAAAATACTAAGAACAAAACACGGAACAATTTTCAAATTATAAATATCTATCAAAATAAATGCAATTAACAATAGTATTAATTTATCATTATTTTATCATAGCAAACTTAGTATAAATTACTCTATGTACAACTGTAGTTGTATTAGAATTAAATAAATGGTTATTTATTATTTAATTTTAATTTATAAACTTATTGTGTATACTAAAAAAATATAAAAATAAATGCAAAACTCATTGAAAAAAAATCTATGCTCATGGATATTAAACTGTCCACCATTCATCGTGTGTTTTATTTATAAATTAAAATTGTAATTACATACCTTACTTTATACAAGAATTCAACGTAAAATCGATCATAATTTAAAAATATTTTTATTCAATTTATTACACTAAAAAACACATTATTTATATATATAATATAGTCACCAAATGCATAATAAAATATGATTTCATTTTTAATTATTTTTATTATAAGTAAATAAAGAACAGTTTATTTGTACGGTTAATTTTTATTTCTAATAATTTTAAAACATTCTAAGTATAGCATTATATTATACATTTATACATCTTGGAAGTACACTGTCCTTGTGATGTACTTCATACAATCAAATATTACTATATACACTATAGTAAAACTTAAGCCTATTTATACTTTGTATTTCACTGAACTACAATTTACTAATATAACTTTCTGAAAATCAATTAATATAATATCAATATTTTTAAAGAAAATCGTAATTTTGTTTTTCTCATAGTACCTCAATTGGAAATAACAGATGAAAGAGGCGTACAAGTGAAAGACAAATTCTACTATGTGGGTAGTACCATAGAGCTAAAATGCTATATAACCAAAGTACCCCAACCAAGTCAATTCATTGTATGGCGTCACGAAACGACAAGCCTAAATTACGACACAAGCCGAGGCGGTATCAGGTAATAGTAATACTGAATGTTTACAGAAACAAATCACCCTACAATCTAATATTATATACCTACCTAGTCTATTTTTCTTGTATTATTATTGTGCAATCTGAATCAAACATCAATTTCTATTTCAATTTTAAACAAATTGAAATTGTTCAATAAATCCATTTTTAATACAAAATAGTATTTCACTCAATCAAATATAGATATTTAAATTTTAAAAACACATTTTACAGTTATTTTTCTTATTATTATTAATCCTTAATATAAATCTTTACTGTTAAAATTAATACGTTTTAATGAGTAATACTAACTATTTTTCAATCAAAAATTATACATATCTTTTTATGGGTAACTCGAATTACGTTAAATATTGCGCTCAATTTACGCTCAATAATATGTTTAAATATTAAAGAAAAATAAATAAATACACATCTAATACAGGTTTTTAAACAATTTAGTTCTATACATTTTAAAAATAATGTTATTTGTTTGAATGGTATACAACTAAATAATTTTGGGAAATAGGAAAATATTAGTTCACATACTCTACAGATTAACAAAATGTAAATTGTTGGAAAAAACGAGCAATTAATCTTATACTGATTTGTACGCATACGAGTTTCGAGTTTTAAATAGGAAATTTTAAAAATGCGCAAACTAATAATTATAGCCATCATCATAATTTAAGCACATCAGTAAAAAATATTATGCTTACCAAAATATAAGAAAATTTAGCCAGTATATTTAGATGTAAAAAATCTATCGACTATAATAAATACAGTTGATATATATCATGTTAGTACACGTCAATACTTTTTTTATGATTAAATGTTTTTATATTTTATATAATTATTATTTTTCACGTTTATAATTTATAGTGTTTTTGGTTTATCCAAACTTCTAACGTCAAAATAAATTGATTACATTTTGTTGTTGTAGTGTTCCATAAAATTCTGACATAAGTATTTATATTCTGTAAAACTAATTTATGTAAATATTTTTAAAATTGAATAAATTATTAATATTCATAAAATACTCAAAAAATTTCATAAGTTTTAATACTTAGGCCAGAGATGGGTAGAGGAGTATATATAGTTTATACACAATTAAATGTGTACTAATATAACTAACACGGTGATACACTCAGTATGCTCATTTAATGTAATGAAACAAAAATAATACAATTTAATGTTAAATTTGTCAGTTGGGTTTATAAGTAAGAATTAATGAAGACTATATAAATAATGAATATTCAAATGTCAAATATAAATTTACCTTAGGCTAAATAAATACATTTATATGCCATTGTTGTTGTCAAATTCTAAAGATATTTAGCATACTAATAAAATCACAACATAAATAATAATAATAATAATAAGCTTTATAAATGGATAAATTGTAAAAATATTACTTACAATCAAACAACTGAATATTGTTTATAACAACAACGTATAAATTCAATCAATATCCAATGTATTATAATCTATACCTTTTTTTAAATTCTAATTCAAATGTATTATTTTCATATTTATAGTAATATTTAAAATGTATGTATACAAATAATAAACTGTAAACTATTTTACATAATCATTTAAGTATATTAATAAATTATATCACTTTCATGATAAAATAAAATAAACATGTCATAAGAATATAATATATAGATACAAATCAACTATAAAAAAATATTATTTAAACATATGTGTAATTTTTATAAAACATTGATTTCCAAACAAATTTTTTGCTATTTTACACTACTATAGGCTTCGGTAATTAAAAGTAAAAACTTATTAAAAATAAAATATCTATATAGAATATAATAATCATACTATCAGCATTTATTTACTTTTATTTAATTATCTAATTTCATGAAATGTTTTATAAATTGAGATAAAACATTTAAAAATAATAAAGAGTATCGCATTCTAAAAACGATTTTAAGCTAAGTTCAATCAAAACTATATTTTTTGATATTTTCATAAAATGTTTTCAACTGTTGACGATAGCATTTCACTAGATTTATAAAAACCATTATGAACATTGGAAACATCTTTACCAATAAAGTACTTCTCAAATCTTTATAAATACTCTCTAAATCTTTATTCTTTATTTCTTTAATTACAAAAAATTTTTTAAAAAATTTTGAAAAAAAATATATATATATATAAATACTATATAGAAACAATCATTTAAATCGAATACATTATTTTGCTGTTTTGGTGTTTAAAATATTTAGAAAAAAAAAATATTATAATATATGTTTTTAATAACGCCAACTAGAATTTTATCTTAACTTCTATTATCTAAATTTTTCCATCCAACTATGCCATAGTATGTTTTGGCATTATTGTTGGTCCTATTTTGTTCAAAATAAATGAATACAAGTATAAATACAATATTACGTATATTATACTTCAGTCTATGTTCAACGATATTTCTCCTTTTTATGACATGCCTATATCATTTATTTTAATAATATACGTATTCCAGATGGTTCTCGATACCAATTTTAATATAAGTGCAAACTATAATGAAAATTATAAGCTATAATATTAATTGCACGATGTAATAATTTTAACGTTAGCGATTAATTAATTTTAAATTTAATATTTTACTTTTCTCTTTAAAGTGTTTATATTAATGGTGATGTGGAAGGTAAATATAACTGAAAATCCCAGGTGATTATCCTTTGGGATTTACCAACGTTAAGTGTGCTTAACTTAAGCGCTAAGGTTAAATTATTCATACTTCCTCACGTTTATTACGTGAAGGCCATTGCTATAATATGTTATAATATAACATAATACAATAATTATATTTCACGTTGTATTGACTTTTAGTCTTTCAATCTTAAACATTCTGCTGGATATACCTGCAAAATATATTTTCTAATTTTGACAAAATATAAAGTACCTACCTAGATATAAGCACCAACTTTACTTTTATGATATACTAACATTTTGGGTTATAAGACTTATAATGTTAGTCTTAAAGTTAAAAAACGATTTACTACTTTTAATGAAAAACTTTTAGATTATTTTTTTTTTTTTAAACAAACTATTTCAAAAGTTTTAAACAACAGAATTCAAATACAAAAATAAGTCTTATTCAAGCATATTGTTGATATATGTATTTTTAAATGCATGGTGATATTTTACATAGCTATTATATATTTCTCAATCTCAAAACTTTTTAAAAAAAACACGAAATTATTGATAAGGGTTTCTATTATTTACATATATATATATTTTATTAAACTTCAAAATATATTTTTATTTTTTGTTATTAATAATATCAAAAATAAAATAACAGTCTTTTAAAACGTTAAATTTATTTTTATAAAATTGTATTATTTAAAATAGATACAAATTTCACGTTACTGATTTGAGAGAAACTTCTATATTTTTATAGATAAATTAATAAGTTATACATGATATATATATATGATTTTAAAATATCACTAAAAAATAAGTAAAATGCATAACTCAGAACATGGTATTAGGTATGTATCTTTTTTCATTAGTCTTGTAATCATAAATCCATTAAATACTTCTTAATTAATTTGCAAATAAAAATAAGTATTACACAATATAAATACAAGTATTTTTATATATTTATTGATTATTTTTTTTTTTATCAAGATATATAAAACAATTTCTATATTACAGCACGTTAAGTAATTTTCATAAAATATAAACATAACATTGAAGAAATTGTATGGAAAAAATTTATTAATAAACACCTACTAACATTAATTAATTAAATTTACAATCACTAGTATAGCAAATAACAATTCCAATTTCGTTTAAGCCTATGAGGGGGTTTATCAGAGATATATAGCGGAGCCACATTTTTAATGGAGAGATTATTACTTAAGTTAAGTTTAGCTTGGAATCGGTTGTTATGGAGTTAAGCGAAATCTGTGGCATTTTTAATTCATAAGTCTTTACGAAGTGAATAGTTAGACACATACTATGAGGTACCAATTAGAGTGCGAAGAACTATGTTTTGGAAAGTCTGAATATAAAGGATGTTGAAGAATTTTGCATACAAATTTGTATGCCGTATGACCAGATAATTCTGATCATTGTATTGTATGATAACATTTTAGTTTTAAGATTGAATTTAGACTTTAGTATGAGGTAAAAGAGATGAATTTTTCTATTAGCAAGTTTTGTTTAGTTTTTTAGATAGGGTTTTCAAGTAAAGCACTTGTCTAAGATAATGTCTAGGTAGGTACTTGATTTCATTTAGGACTGGTATTATTTTTTTTATTTTTAAGTTTAATGATTGGAAAAATATTGAGATTAAGTGCATTAGTAACTTGAGATAATTTATTTTCATTAATTTAAATCATCCAGATATGTATGAGGTTCAAATTTTATTAAAGATGATACGCTATTATAGGAGCTAAGGTAAACCTTAAAATGGTTCCACCAACTGTAAATATGATAGAAGAATGGTGACTAGATATATCAGAGATATCTTTAATATTTTTACTCAGTGAATTTGAAATATTTATAATAAAAAAATCTAGTATATTAAGATTTCTGTTATTATGAGTAGGCCAGGATACAGGTCCTGTTAAAGAGACAAAAGATAAGTGGTTATTTTTAATGGTCGAGTGAAGATGTTATGAAATATTGACAACGAAGGTAGTGGACCACTTATTTACTTATTTATTAGGTTTGAATTCTCGGAATTTGACAGTAAAGTAGCAAATTAAATTTTCTTTGAAGATATTGCTATTACTAGTATCGGAATCAAGATCAATGAAAAATATAAGTAGAGATTTTTTGGTCTTATGTTGTAAGTTGTAAAATATTAACAATTTACTAATTTTGAAGCTCAGTTTCTCAATCTCTTCAGTTGTATTATCGTTTGGAGTCGAATGATGGAAGTTTTTGAGAACAATACAAAATTATTTTTCTGCGTGATTTGGTAAATATGAAAGTTAATATTTTTGGTTTTGATATCAATTGAGTTGGAATTTTAGACTTAAAATA